CCTGCCCAAACCCTGAGCCCCTTCCAGCACCTAAACTCCCTCCCAGAACTTGCACCCTGCACCCTCTCCTGCACCCCAACCCCATGCCCCAGGCTCAGCCTGGAGCCTCCTCCCACATTCCAAACCCCTCAGCCCTAGCCCAGAGCCCACACCCCCTCCTGCACCCCAAGCCCCTGAGGGTGGGGGAGAGTGAGCGACGGAGGGAGGAGGGATGGAGTGAGTGGGGCGGGGCCTCAGAGAAGGGGCAGGGGCGGGGCCTCGGGGCAGGGCAAGAGTGTTTGGGTTTGTGTGATTAGACGGTTGGCAACCCTAAGTGTGACGTGCCCTCATAGCTAGAGACTGGCTGAGGCCTTGAAGCAGGAGGTTAATATCGCATCGTTATACAGGGAGAACCTGCAGCCCCTCCCCTTCCCCTACAGGCGATCCAGGCTGACTCCTCCCACATCTTCCCATACAGGCAGATCACCCCCTTCCCCTGCTCCCCAGGCCAAGCAGACAGACTCACCTCCTTGGTAGTCGTACAGAGCCACAGCAGAAGGCCCAGCATCATCCGCCTCGTACACATTCTCAGATACTTCTGCAGGAAAACACCAGAGGATGGCTCAGGAGAGGCAGCCCCGAACTATGCACAGACCCTGCCAGGTTTACAGGGGTGATCTCCCCCTCCCCTTCTGAGCCTCGGGCCCCATCATCGGGGAAAGGCCTCACCCCTTTCTCAGAGTGGCTGTTGTCTCTGCGGGAAAGGGCCAGACCAGACAGAGCACTCCCTGCACCTCTCGGTCCTTAGCCAGGGCACAAGATGGACTAGGGTGACCAGATGTCCCGATTTTATAGGGACAGGCCCAATTTTTGGGTCTTTTTCTTATATAGGCTCCTATTACCCCCCACCCCTTGTCCTGATTTTTCACACTTGCTGTCTGGTCACCCTAAGATGGATGCACTGGCTGACACTTACCACAAGGTAGTCAGGCACCCAGCTCTCACTGAATGGGAAAGAGAAGTGCCTTACAATGCGATTCACAAAAGCCAGCACATTAGGCGGGAAGCCAGCTAAGCTAGCCACTGGTAGCGGCCTGGCCCTGGGCCATGCACTGTCTGGTACTCGCTCAGGGAGAGGGTCCTAGCTGCTGCCAAACAGAGAGGGTCCAGGTGCGTGGCCAAAAGCAGGCCAGGACACAGCCCGGCTGGGCCAAAGCGCCATAGCCAGACTCGCTTTCACTCGGGCTCCCAGGCCCAGGCTGAGTGTTCAGTGTTCAGCTCTGAGATCCAGCTTTGTTAGCACCTCCCACACAAGTGCCCATGTACTCCACTCTGGTGCCTCTCCGGTGCCCAGCACCTGCTTCATGGGCTGGCAGGATGCAGGACTCTTCTCAGTTGTTTCCTTCTGCGCGGGTGCAGGGCCAGCACTGGGCACTGTCTCCTGCAGGTGCTGGGTACCGACAAGGTGGGCAGGAAGGTGCTAGTTATTTTGGTTTGTTAAAATGAGCCTCTTCCACTGTATCGAACTGATCCTTTGCCATCTACAAGTAAACAGAACCACCCCTTGCCCCATCATCCCTTCTGAGCCCCTGGGACACTGGGTTAAAAGCTGACAGGGGGATTTGGCTGCACACTCCTAGCAGGCATGAAAACCTCAGCCACAGACCAGACAGGGCCGGCTCCAGCTTTTTTGCCGCCCCAAGCGGCGAAGCGGGGGGGGAAAGAAGATAAAGCCGCGAGCGGCAGCACTTCAGCAGCAGCTCCACCGCGCTGCTTTCATTTTTCGGCAGCAATTTGGCGGTGGGTCCTTCGCTCCGAGAAGGACTGAGGGACCCACCGCCGAATTGCCGCCGAAGACCCGGACGTGCTGCCCCTTTCCATTGGCCACCCCAAGCACCAGCTTCTTTCACTGGTGCCTGGAGCCGGCCCTGCTGTGAGCCACAAGGGAGCGCGTGCCACTCAGCTCCTCTCACTCAGAATGCCCTGCTGGCAGCCACTCCCTTTGAAACCAGCAGGTATCAACTCTGAAGGCCTCACACCAGGAAGGTGCAGGCTCTAAATCGCTTAGGCATTTGTAGGTCAACATCAGTTCTTTGAACTGCAGCTGGAAATGAACCAAATCTGCACAGACTTTGGGGCATGGCTGGAAATCACTCCCTGCAAAACACAGCACCAAGCGCTGAATTGCACCAGAGCACACTGCATTGTCCCATCCTCGGGCGAGCCCGCCCTGGCCCCTCTTGAACAGGTGAGTCTATTGCTGGCCCAGGACTAGCTGAGCTAGTCTCAGAACTTAGAGCAAGGCAGTGCTTTGCTTACCCCCCACCCCGTCACCATTTCTCCCAACTGGAAGAGCAAAGCAGGCTGCCCCCAGCAAGGCTCCCCACGGTGTCTGGGGAAGCCAATCGCTGCAGAGCAACATGATGCTGAGTTTCTCTCTGGCGTTTTTATGGCACCACAGTGCCTGCCTGGCCTAGCTCTGAAGTGCAGACAGACACCTGTGTCCCTAGAGACATGCCCCAGGACTTGTTCCCTGTCACTCACCAGGGCAGGGAATGTTCCCGATGCTGCTGGATGCACTCTCTGGGGGGATCTCCTCATAGTCCTCACTCGTATCAACACCCTCATCGTAGATGGCCTCTGACTCCCTCGAGGGCTCCGGCAGCTCCTCATAGTCTCTGTCCACATCAGCACCATCTTTATAGTCTGAGGGCTCTGGCAGCTCCTCATAGTCCCCTTGCAGATCCACGCTGTCGGCATAGATGGCCTCCTCCTCATGCGACTCCTCATGCAGCTTGCTGGAACCTTCTTCCAGGTCTGAGGGCCGCGGTGGCAGTGCAGGGGGCTGTTCCTCATCCTGTATGTCTGCCTCTTGCTGTGCAGTGAGGGAAGAATGGGAAACTAACCCATGTCAAGTATAAACTATGGGGCAGGGACTCGACCTGCGTGTGTCTGTGCATCGCCAGTATTAAGGTGTCTGATCCCAGAGGGGGGTGCTACATGCTACCTGCAGATAGTGCCCATCACCAGAAGGGCTTTTAAGGAAACATCCCAATAAGAGATTTAAGCATCTGCCCAAGAACTGTGCAGAGCCACAGGACGTGAGCTTTACCTGGCAGGTGCCAATCTCACCACTGGCAAAACTGCCATTTGTAAGCTAGTCCCAAGGGAAGGGAGCTGCTGGAAACTGCAAACCAGCCGAAACCCTGTGGTTTAAAAATGGCTGAGCCAGTTTAAACCAAATGCTGATAAAAAACAACACACATCCCCGGCTACAGCAAGGCAATTTGGGGCAAGTGCTGTCAGGATTGTGTGCCTTGTCCAGCTGCTATACAAGCGATACCATAGCACATTGAAATGGTAACAGGAAACATGAGCTGATTACATTCAATATGGGCAGAGATCAGACCCAATCAGCAATATAGATCTGTCTCAGCAAGTGTGTGCGTGTGTCAAGCTCTGAAGAGTGCAAGTGACACACTACATATTACAGCTATAGCATAAAGACTGAGAAATCACCTCTGAGAGAAGATTGGTGGCGAGTGTGTGTGTGTGTGTGTGTTGAAGTATAGAAGCATAGACATTACGTTGGAACCTTATATTTAAGTGTATATAACAGCAACAAAGTGAGAGGTCTGTATGAGGCACACCAGTATACGTATGGCCTAACAGCTTTTGGTTAAAAGTTATTCATAGCATTCCAAATACCGGTCACAATGTGTTCTGTGGCCATAAAGAGTGGTGTGGTGTGGCTCTCTCTCTTTGAAGCTGCTGGAAGCTATTAACACCTACTTGACAGGATTTTACACACACTAGTCCTGAGGTTGAACTGACTCTGTGCAGGCTTCCTGAAAAGTCCTGAAAAGCCGGTTCTGGCCTGTGCTTTAGCAGAGCGTTAAGCTGAGGTGCAGAAAGACTTAGTGTGCACTTTATATAACATTGCTGCAGCAGCTCCCTGCCCCGTTACAGAGACGTGGGCACAGCCCAGCATTATCAACATCTGGTACTATCCAGAGCCACTTAGAACTGGTACTATCCAGAGCCACTTAGAACTGGAACCATTCTCCCAGTGTTCCAGGCCTCTCGTGCTGCCCTGTGAAATCTCTTCTGCCCCTCAGCTGTGCTTCGGGTATTTGCCCACTCAGCTGCTGCTGACCCCTCCCCTGAGTACAGTTCCAGATTTGGTCTGCAAAAGGGTGGAAGCGTAAAGTGCCCAGTAGCCATGACCCCCTCCCCACACTGCCCTCCCTTCATAGTAACAGCCCTCCCCCCCCCACACCGATTCTGACCTACACACTGTCCTTCCCCGGCAGCTGTGGCCCTCACCCAGTGCTGCCCCCGTACCTGCTGTCTCTGTGGACTAGGCAGCATTGCTGGTTCTTTGCAAACCCTCCTGGGTACCAGAGCTGGCGTGGGACCTGGCTCGTTACGGTTCGTCTCCTCACTCTCCTGGGTTTCCTTTAAGGAGAGAGATCATCAGCACCATTCAGTCTTTTTGCATAGGATCCAGAGTGACTCCCTTTCCTACTCCCGATGGGACAGTTTACACACAAGCCTCATTCTCCTCTCACTGGAGCCTGTCCCATTTCCCATAAAGCCCACTCAGGAGACTAAGGGACCTAATGGCAATGGACCCATTGCTCGTGTGGGACCTGCAGGAATCAGCCTCAGGAAGGGTCCACTCAGCAAGAACATAGGTGCAGGAACTAGGGGTGCTGCCGCACCTCCTGGCTTGAAGTGGTTTCCAGTATATACAGGATTTACAGCTTAGTTAAATGGCTCTCAGCCCCCCCACTGTATAAATGGTTCCAGCACCTCTGAGCAGGAATGCTTCTCATTCAGGAAGCCACCACCCCCATCCATGTGCCAGAAAGGGCCACAGTGTGGGGAAAGGCTGAGACCAGTCCCCAGTGCTCTGTGGAGGGAAAGGGGTACCTGGTCACATAGTGGAGGTTCTTATCATAGAAATGTAGAACTGGAAGGGACCTCAAGGGTCCTGCACTGAGTCAGGACCAAGTAAACCCTAGACTATCCCTGACAAGTATTTGTCCAACCTGTTTTTAACTACAGGGATTCCACAACCTCTCTTGGAAGCCTGTACCAGAACTTAACTACCTGTAAGTTTTACCTAATATCTAACCTAAATCTCCTTTGCTGCAAATAAACCCATTACTTCTAGTCCTGCCTTCTGTGGCCGTGGAGAACAATTGATCACAGTGCTCTTTGTAAGAACCTTTAACATATTGGAAGACTTATCAGGTCCCTCCCTCACTCTTCTTTTCTCAAGATTAAACGTGCCCGGTTTTTAAAACCTTTCCTCATAGGTCAAGTTTTCAAAAAACTTTTATCATTTTTGTTGCTCTTCACTGGATTCTTTGCAACTTGTCCACATCTTTCCTAAAGTGTGGAACCCACAATGACATTAGCCTTTTATGCAACTGCATCACATTATTGACTCATGTGCAATTTGTGATCCACTAGAACCCCCAGATCCTTTTCAGCAGTACTGCCACCTACCCAGTTATTCCCCATTTTATAGTTTTGCATTTAATTTTTCCTTTCTAGGTGTGGTACTTTGCACTTGTCTTTGCTGAATTTCATCTTGATTTCAGACCAATATTCCAATTTGACATGGTCATTTTGAATTCTAACCCTGTCCTCCAAAGTCCTAGCAACCCCTCCCAGGTTGGTGTCATCCGCAATGTTATAAGCATCTATACTCTCCACTCCGTTACCAAAATCATTAATGGAAATATTGAAATATTTTGAATATTCAAATATATTAAAATATTGAATAAGCACAGACCCCTGCAGGACCCTACTAGCTACATCCCCCCAGTTTGTCAGTCTTGGGGGCATATAAGGTGGACTCAAAACTCTGGTCTGTGCATCTGGGTCAAGAAGAATCCAGTCCCTGCACTGGGGAGTGGGGAGGGCCCTGCCTGGTGCTGGGATGAATTGGGTCCATGCATCGGGGTCACGGGGAGCAGGAAGGGCCATGTCTGGTGCTGGAGTGAGTCTGGTCCATGCATCAGGGAGCGGCGAGGGCCCTGTCTGGTGCTGGGATGAGTCCGGTTCATGTAGACAGCGCTATGTTGACGGGAGAGCTTCTCCCATCGACATCGCTACTGCCTCTCGGGGAGGTGGAGTACCTACGCCAACAGGAGAAGCTCTCCCATCAGCACAGGTACCTGCGTCACTAAACACTACAGAGGTGCTGCTGCAGTGCTATAGGTGTGGACAAACTCTAAAGGTCGGTATAACTATGTTGATTTGCCACACCCCTGAGGGTATGTCTACACTACAGGATTAATCCGAATTTAGATAATTCGAATTTGGGAAACAGGTTGTATAAATTCGATTGTGCGCGGCCACACTAAGCACCTTAATTCGGTTTTTAACCACATTAATTCGGTGGTGTGCGGCCACACTACTCCATTAATTTAAACACAGTAATTCGGTGGTGTGCGGCCACACTAACCCTAATTCGAATTAACAAAATCGATTTAGGCTCTACTCCGTTCGTCGAGGTGGAGTACAGAAATCGATTTAAAGGGCCCTTTAATTCGAATTAACTGGCTCTGTAGTGTGGACGGGTGAAGGGTTAATTCGGATTAACGCTGCTAAATCCGAATTAATCCCGTAGTGTAGACCAGGCCTGAGTGATGCAGTTATACCAACATAAGTTTGTAGTGTAGACCAGGGCTCAGAAAGAAGAGAAAGATTCTCCCAAAGGGCTCCAAGTGCTGGAGGGCTGATGTCTCCTTTCTCAATTGCTATTGTAACCAGCTTTTCAAAATTCAAAAATGGGACACATGCAGGAGCTCCGTCCCCTCTGTGGCCCCTCCCCCTGTCCTCCTCTTCCCCCCTGAGGCCCCACCCCATGGCCAGGCCAGAAGTCAGATTGGGGCCATAGTAAGAGCCACCCAGGGAGCTCAGGCCGCTGTGGGGAGCCCCAGATCCTCCACTTGCCCTGGGTGGGGGGCCTGAGAGCAGCACCCAGCCCGTGTCCCCACCCCCGGGGCACGCCCCCCCAGGGCAGGTGGAGAGTCTGAGGATCCCCACAGTGGCCCGGGATCCCTGGGCAGCTCTTATCACAGTCCGGCGGCCTGGTCAGGGCCGGAGCCTTGTGGGGAAGAGGAGGAGCAGCGAGGGACGGGCCCTCATGGCAAGGGGGGATTAAGGACCACCTCAGCCTCCTCACTGGGAAGAGTCTGGGGCCGTCCCCAAGCCTTGGGCAGTCGTGGAGCAGTGCTGCAGGGAATCCAGGACAAATGCTGTCCCAGAGACAATTTGGGATGGGTGGTCACCCTGGTGTGGGTCTGCCCTGAGGCAGGCAGATCAGGCACTGGCCTGGAAATCAGGATGCCTGGCTCCAACACTAACTTGTTGAGGGGGTTTGGGCAAGTCCCTGCCCGCCCTGAGAGAGGGGGACAATGCTGCTGTGCTCCCGTGTCCACAGCCTGGCTGTGCTCCCTTCAGCACACAGCCACCCCAGAGCCTGGCCCCACCAGGGGGGACAGGGCAGCACTGGCCGTGGCTGGGCATTGGGCCCCTCACCTGCTGCTGCTGCTGCTGCTGGGCTGCCTGGCGCTCCCGCTGCTCCCGGGCCTGGCGCCTCACTCGTTCCTCCTCCACCCGCTTCCTATTCTCTTCGTCAGCCGACTTGGCCATGCTCTCGAATCGCGACTTCAGGCTTCTGGCTCCACTGGAGGCTGCACAGAGAAATGGCTTCTCAGGAACAGGCACCCTGGGTCAGCTTGCTGGGACACGCCACCCAACCGGCCTCCCCTGTCTCCAGGGCACCCACCCCGGGATCCTCCTCCCTCTTAATGGGCTGCCTCCATCCCCCCCAGGCCAAACCCACTGACTCCATCATCTTCCCCCTCCAGCCTGCAGGCCAAACCCGCACAACCCCCCAGCCACATGCCCGGTGCAGTTTCTGACTGCGGAGGCTTGTAGGAACAGCCATGGAATACAGTCTCTTCCCAGGTGCAGGGCCAGGGCTAGGCACTCTGGTTGTTTCCGAGTGTCTTACCTGCCTCCACAGGTTTGGTCTTCTCATATGAGGAAGTTGGAGCTTCCATCTCATTAAAGCCAGCGGCGCTCTGAAAAGGGAAGAGAATGGCACATCCAGCATGCCAGGGATGTCCCCAGGGCAATGGCCCAGCCAGACACCCATCTGGATTCTATTCCCAGTTCTGCCACTGGCCTGCTGTGTGACACTGGGTGAGTCACGTCTCTCTGTGCTTCAGTTTCCCCACTCTATAGCACCTCGGGGGCTTGGGAGCCAGAAGGAGTGTCTTAGTTCTTCCACTGACTATTAATATTGTTAATTTCTGTTGCTAATTCTTTTCACTTCTCAACCTGGCCACAATAATGGAATGCTGACATGGGCAGCAGAAAATAGGGAAATAACAAGTAGAAATATAATTAATGATATTCAACATGGTTTTGTAGAAAATAGGTCTTGTCAAACCAACCTGGTTGTCACAGGGCAGCATCTGAAGCACCCTCCAGCAGCAGGCCATGGCAGACCAGCACGCCTGCCTCAGTGTCCCTCTTTCAAAATCCCCAGTAATGCCATGCAAGCTTTCTTGCCTCAATTTTCCTCCTCCTTGGGGCCAGTTTATTACAAAATCATAGTGGAAAATAGACCATAACAAAAGCCCCAAAACATAGTCCACTGATCACTCTCTATGCACATAGTCCTTAACATCTAATCTTTCAACACTCCACATACCCATGTGGCATCTTCCACCAAACCTGGGCTCTTCTTCAGTCCTCTCCTTCCTTCTGCCAGGTCAACTGCCCAGCCCTTCTAGCTGGAGTGCAAATCCACTCTTCCCAGAAGGCAAGCCCATGCACTGTTCCCCTGGCTTCAGCTCTCCAGCATGGAGACATCAGCCCTTCTGCAGCTCCCCTGCCTTCAGCCCTCTCCAGCCCTTAGCTTCAGCTTGCTGGCTTAGAAGTCAGCAATCAACTCCCGCTGCTGCTCTGTGGCCTTCAGCCCTCTCCAGCCCACTGGCCCAGGCTCTCTGGCTTGGGGAGGTCAGCTGGCAAACCCCTCTAGCTGATCTCCTGCTCCAGCCTTCCCCCAGGCATCAGCTACAGCTTCCTTCAGGGAGCCTCCTCCAGTCCCCTGGTTCCTGGCAGCTCTCACCTGCCCTTGCCAGACTGAACTCCAGCAGCTTTCACCTAAGCCTCTGCCTCACCAACTCTCAGGCTGTTCTGTCCGTTTCTATGGCCCAGATGCCTTTCTTTAAGCTCGGTTGGGGGTCAGCTGACAAGTCACAGGTGTGCTGCTCTCTTCCTTCTTAAATGTCCTGTGCCATGCTGTGAAACTGATATTCTTTCAGGAGAGTACTTGCCTGCTTGATAAAGGTAACTGTGCTGAGGTAATAGACCCGTGTAAGGCATTAGCTTTAGTTCTGCACAGCATTCTGCTTAAAAAATAGCATTGTATACAAACCAATATGACATCTATCAAATGGATTAAAAACTGGTTAACTGATTGGTCCTGCTTTGGGCAGGGGGTTGGGCTAGACGACCTCCTGAGGTTGCTTCCAACCCTGATATTCTATGATTCTATGATAGTACACCTAACAATTGTAAATGGGGAATCGTCAATGAATAGGGATGTTTCTTATGGGATGAGAGGAAAGGTTCTCTCATGGATCGGTAACTGGTTAAAAGTTAGGAAACAAAGGGTAGGAATAAATGGTCAGTTTTCAGAATGGAGAGAAGTAAATAGTGGTGTCCCCCAGGAGTCTGTACTGGGACCAGTCCTATTGAACATATTTATGAATGATCTGGAAAAAGGGGTAAACAGTGAGGTGGCAAAATTTGCAGATGATACAAAACTACTCAAGATAATTAAGTCCCAGGAAGACTGCGAAGAGCTACAAAAGGATCTCACAAAACTGGGTGACTGGGCAACAAAATGGCAGATGAAATTCAAAGTTGATAAATGAAAATTAATGCACATTGTAAAACATAATCCCAACTATACATATAAAATGATGGGGACTAAATTAGCTGTTACCACTCAAGAGAGAGATCTTGGAGTCATTGTGGATAGTTCTCTGAAAACATCCACTCAATGTCCAGAGGCATTCATAAAGTGAACAAAATGTTGGGAATCATTAAGCAAGGGATTGATAATAAGACAGAAAATATCATATTGCCTCTATATAAATCCAATGGTACATCCACATCTTGAATACTGCGTGCAGATGTGGTCGCCCCATCTCAAAAAGATATATTGGAATTGGAAAAGGTTCAGCAAAGGGCAACAAAAATGATTAGGGGGTATGGAATGACTTCCGTATGAGGAGAGATTAATAAGACTGGGACTTTTCAGCTTGGAAAAGAGGCGACTAAGGGGGGATATGATTGAGGTCTATAAAATCATGACTGGTCTGGAGAAAGTAAATAAGGAAGTGTTATTCACTCCTTCTCATAACACAAGAACTAGGGTCACCAAATGAAATTAATAGGCAGCAGATTTAAAACAAACAAAAGGAAGTATTTTTTCACACAACACACAGTCAACCTGTGGAACTCCTTGCCAGAGGATGTTGTGAAGGCCAAGATTATAACAGGGTTCAAAAAAGAACTAGATAAGTTCATGGGGGATAGTCCATCAATGGCTATTAGCCAGGATGGGCAGGGATGGTGTTCCTAGAAGCTGGGAATGGGCGACAGGATGGATCACTTGATGATTACCTGTTCTGTTCATTCCCTCTGGGGCCCTTGGCATTGGCCACTGTCGGAAGACAGGATACTAGGCTAGATGGACCTTTGGTCTGACCCAGTATGGCCGTTCTTATTTCCTGTAACTGTAACCCAAGCCTGCCTGGTATGGCACTCAGTCCCCCTCCAGTGGCACCTAGATCATCTAGAGATTGAGTCTGCTTACCGCCTTAGCTAAGAGCCACATAGCTTTTAGCTCATGCAGTAGAGACTCGTACACTAAACTCCAGAGGTTCCCAGGTTCGATCCTGCCTGCTGACAGACGGGGGTCTGTCCGCGTTACACAATGATCAGTGCTAGTTAAGGGTTTCATCAATTGATTTGGAAGAAAATTTTTTAAAAGCCTTTGCTGGTAAAGTTTGCAGATGAGACAAGCAGTAGTGGAGTGGTGGTTAATGAGGAAGACAGGTCATTGACACAAAGTGATCTGTACATTCCCACACATTTGGGAAGACTTCTTAAACAAGCCCCCACACCAGTGATTGCCTGCATTCTCCAAGGTCAGGACATTCACTCTGCAAGATGTCCTGGACGCCCAACAGGAGGCATGACCAGAGAATCCTATTCCTGGCCTGTGAAAGAGAGTCATGAACTGGTGCCACTCCTGACCAAAATAGCTAGCACCTCATTCAGGGAAGGAATCATCTCTTCTCCCTTCAAATTCACAATAGGGCAAGTGACACTGAAAAAGCCAACCCTGGACACATTGGTTCTAACCAACTACTGCCCAGCATCAAAGCTCCCACCCCTGAGCAAGCTCATAAAGAGGGTAGGCGAATGCCTAATTCAAGATAATCTAATTGATGTTAATATCCTAGACCTGGCATCATTTGGATTAAGGCCCAGACATGGGACGGAAACCATTTTAGTGGCATGGATGGCACTCTCCTGATATCAATGGATAGAGGGCAGTCAGTCATCTATTCTCATCCTCTTGGACCTCGCTGCAGCATTTAGTACTGTCCACCACGAGAGTCATGGATTCATATTTCCTAGATTCCAAAGCCAGAAGGGACCATTGTGATCATCTAATCTGACCTCCTGTATAACACAGGCCAGAGACCTGCCCTGAAATAATTCCTAGAGCAGGGGTAGGCAACCTATGGCACACAAGCTGATTTTCAGTGGCACTCACGCTGCCCGGGTCCTGGCCACCGGTCCGGGGGGCTCTGCATTTTAATTTAATTTTAAATGAAGCTTCTTAAACATTTAAAAAAAACTTATTTACTTTATATACAACAATAGTTTAGTTATATATTATAGACTTATAGAAAGAGACCTTCTAAAAACGTTAAAATGTATTACTGGCACGCGAAACCTTAAATTAGAGTGAATAAATGAAGACTCGGCACACCACTTCTGAAAGGTTGCCAACCCCTGTCCTAGAGCATGGGTTTTAGACAAACATCCAACTTTGGTTTAAAAGTTGTCAGTGATGGAGAATCCACCATGATCTTTGTAAATTGTTCCACTGGTTTATTGTCCTTACTGTTAAAAGTGTACACTTTATTTCCAGTCTGATACTGCAGTCTCACCTAAGAGAGGTGACTCAGTTCCAGGGGAATGTGCTAAAATGGTCGGTTCCCGGAGGGACTCATCCAATGAGTGGTGATGGGAAACTGCACCTCTGCCACTAGACTCCTCAACTGTGGAGTCCCACAAGGATCAATTCTCGGTCCAGTCCAATTTTAATGTCGATATGCATAGCTTAGGGGGCTCTTTGATTCCTCACTGACACTGAGCTCTCACAAAACAAACCGTTTCTAGTTGGCTAGGAGACTTCATCCCATCCTGGTGGCCTGGATTATGCACATCTTTGTCAACTCCTTTCTGGGCTACAGTAGTGCAGTGCACCTGGGTATGAAGCCATCAGCACTTAGGAAACTCCAGCTGGCACAGAATGCTGCCATGTGTCTCCTCAGCAACATAGGTTACCATGAGAGCATCCAACCTGCTCTCTGCTCCTGACACTGGCTGGCTATAGAATATCACATCAAGTTCAAGGTCTCAATCCTTATCTTCAGGCCTAGACCCATCATATCTAAAAGAGCCTAAGCTCCAGGATGTAGACCATGGTCAACAAGTCCCCTACTCTGCACAACAGAGCTGGCTACACCAAGTGTAAGGCCATTTCTGTAGGAGTCAGTGCTTTCTCAGCGGCCAGTCCCAGACTGTCAAACAAAGGAACTAAGGACCACCCCAAATCTCACCACCATTGCTCTGCTCCAAGTGCCAGGCACACTTCTGAAACCTGCCTTCTCTAACATGCACAGAGCAAAATGCACATAAAATACCCCCAAAACAATGAAAACCATACCAAACCAAAACACTCCACTGCACACAAAATTCTCCCCCTGGGGAGAGGGAAAGAACAAACAACACGTGACAGCTCTTAGTCACAACCGTCAATGAATGATAGGAAGGTGCTCAAATACTGCAGTTTGAGTGCAATATGAGAACCTGTATAGAATCGAATCTAGATAGCTTATCCTTGTGGGTAAAATCAAACCAGGAGCCCAACACTTTCCCCTGCATACGCTGCACCTGTAGGACCCTAACATTCCATTTCCTTTGCGCCCGCAGCACATCTGTCCACATGTGCAGTACTGGAGATGAGGCAGGTAGCTACAAAGGTAATTTCCTGCAGAGCCATGGCCTTTGCGCATGCTCACTACTGTTATTGACCATGCAGCCTCCCTTCCCATTGCACCTTCTGAACTCAGTAAGAAAATACCCAACCACCCAACCAACTGTGACTGCACAGCGCAGGATCCCAAAAAGCTGGTAACTCAGCCAGACCCAAACCAATGGGCAGTGGAACACACTGAGCCAGTGGTTCCCAAACTTTAACAACTTGTGAACCCCTTTCACTAAAATGTCAAGTCTCGCGAACCCCCTCCTAAAAATGAATATTTCCAGGGATTTTCTCCTTTACCTGAGTATAAATTATAAAAGCAGTGACTTGGAAATATAAAAATTGTTTTTATGACATGCTTATTACACACTATTTATTATTTATTATTATTTATAATTACAGTATTTTTATTACATTATGAAAACGGCAAAACTCTTCCAGATGTCACTTTCATAGCTTGTATCACTTTGAATAAGCCTGTTATAAGACAAGGCTCCTATGTTTCATCAAGGAGTATCAGATGAAACAGCATGAAGGTATTTAAGAAGCCAACTCAAAGAGTTCCTCCTACACAAGCATTCAGGTTCTTGAGCAGTCCAGGCAAACAATGCACGTTACAACAAAGCTTAAACTTGTTCTTCATAATAATTTTAAAAACAATACTAGCTGCCTATTTAATTTTAAAAACAGCAAAAAATATCCACGTCCCTTTCCATTTCTTATAAGGAATCTTGAAGTTTAAATCTCCTCAGTGTGATAGATATGCTTGCTTTGATCTGCTTAGCTCTTAGAGGTCCAGGGGCTCCGTGCTGCTGGCCCCATGCTGCCTGGGATCCCTAGCGACAGCTGGGGTCCCGCCATTAGGGAATTTTTTCCCAAGAACCCCCTGTAACATTTCGTGAACCCCCAGGGGTTCACGAACCCCCGTTTGGGAACCACTGCACTAAGCCCATTCTCGTAACTCAGACCCTGCCACGGCCCAAATGTGGGGCGCACGGTGCCAAGACGACCAGCATGAGGGCCACACAAACACTGATGAAGAAGATGGAAAATGGTGCAGGAATCCTTCTTGTTAATAGAAATGACACTTTTTGTAACCCCAGGCTTGCGATTCTTTATTTCTGATGTAAATAATTAACAATAAAGTGTGTGTGAAAGACAGAAGGGAAACGACACCAAATCTGCGTGCAAAGCAGTTTTGGGACCACAGTGAGTGAGGTCCTTCAGAATGAAGAACTTACAAGAGGAATGGTCCCTCCCTGCCAGATTCCTACTGTAGCCCCATTCGCTGCAGAGTGGTTGAGAAAAATCTTATTGTCACAGGAAGGGCATCTTTTTCTCATACAGTGAAATTCACCCCCAGGCAGAATCCAGGCCTGGGAGAATTCAGCCCAAGAGGGGAGCGATTCAGAAAGGACTTAAAATGGAAATACCACCCACATTCCATCTCTCTTCCCCCACGCTTCATCACACCAAGCCCCGCCCTTCTGCCACCACAGCTAAATAACTGCACGGGGGAAAGCCTGTGCGAGAAGTGGTGCAGCAGGTGCCACTCCCCTTTGCAGAGGAGCAAGGTTTGGGGGTTCTGGGGGCATAACTGTGAACTGTGCTGAGTGCAGCAGGCTTACCTTATCCACTCTGTCCTCCTGCACACCGTACCGACCTCCAAAGCCCTTGGCATAGTCTGCAACACACAAAGGGTTCAGTTTGCCCTCAGCTATCGGGAGAAGCTCCCATAGACTTCACTGGGAGATGCCCCACGTAGCAGGGGAAGGATTGGGCCCAAACAGATCAGGGAGAATTTTGCCCCATTCCAGCAACCCATGAACAAACAAGAACTGCCGGCAGCCAACAAATCCATTTGTACTTCAGAACTAGCCCACTCAGTCAGGTACTAATGCTGGATGCTCCTGGGGAAGGCGTGAAATCCACATTACATGGCAAACCCACATCGTGCACCCAGCACCCAATGGGCAATACTCCAGCAGGGGGAAACATCCTCCTGACTCCCCATCCGGTGCCTTGAGGCAGGGGCTTCAGAACCCTGGTCATTTCATCTTAGCCAGAGGCCTGGGAGATGCTTTGATTGGAACTGGGAAAACACTGGAAAAAGCCTCCACAGATAGTCCCTGGAATCACTGCCTGATTGTGCCCCATCCAGTGTCTGCTCCCTGCATGCCACAGGAATATGCCTGACACCGGGAATTTTAGTCAACACCTCAGAATAGCTCTGCACAGCCAATTTCAGATTCATAGCCAAGTATCTGCTCTGGAATCCTGAGTGTAACACATTCCTCCAATCAGGAACCAAAACGGACCATGGACCCTTTATGCCCATTCAATGTATCACGAATTTCAAATGCCAAGTACAAAATTAAAGGGTGTTTGTGCAGGGTCTGCATTCGTTTGTCGCAATGGCAGCAGGTGCTCCAATGGCATCTTTGTTGCTAAGGGGACCAATGCCGCATGCTCGCCATCAGGGCCGGCTCCAGGCACCAGCTGACCAAGCACGTGCTTGGGGCGGCACTTTGGGGCAGGGCGGCGCTCGATTTTTTATTTATTTATTTTTTTGATT